ATAAGAGGTGACGTTCATCTTCAGCTCAGTTGAGGCTCTGTCACATGTCCACGGCCTTGGGGAAGGGAGTGGTGAGGAAACAGTCAAAGCATCTTTGTTGTTTTCAAAACATTCCAGGAGGAGTTGCGATAAATCCGCTGTCAAGGCCACAGTTTGGGTCAGGCAGAACTCATGAATTGCTGTTTCTGTCTTTTTAAAGTCTCGCTGGTATATATTCTTCTGATGGAACTCCAAAATAGCCGAATTGATCCTTTACGCCAAAAGTCGAGCTCACAACTTCTCCAAGATTATTCCCACCATTCATGGGTGCTGCCAGAAGTTCACGATAACAGCTGCTCCAGCTCCCTGCTGCAGCTCCCCAAATTCAGTCTGAGCGCTGTCGAGATTCGACACATCCACACAAATTTATAGACAATCCAGAATTCACCAGCCAAACAGCAAAATAACGAGTTGTCATCATGAATCCAATTTGTTTCCTTCGAGGTAAGACGGTCCTCCTTATGCCCTGAATCCTGTCAGGAGAAGTTGATCAATTTTGTTGAGAGACCAGCTGATCCTTCAAATTAAGAGGTATGCAGAAGGAAAAAAAAAAAGAGTATTTTTAAAGGTTCACAGGACAAAAGAGTGGAAGCAGGGAAGCGGGTATGTGTGTGTGTTTGTGTATGTGTTTGTATGTGGGGGGGGGGGGTTCATATTTATTTAAAGACATAGAAATAAAAGAGCTTAAAATGAAAAACAGGGTTAAAAAATAAAAGACCCTGAAATATGTAAAGTAGCTTTACAAAATAAAAGTGTCACAAAATTAAACTCCATTATTAATTAAATAAATAAATAAATAAATCTTGAAATAAATAAAAATAAATCTTGAAATAAATCTCAAAATAAATCTTGGAGAAAAAACAAAATATATTTAAATATTTTATTTCACGGGAACATTTATTTATTTAAAGAAATATGTATTAATAATTTTTAAATAACACTTTATTTAATTTTGAATGAAATGGCTTTCATATGTTCAAACCCTGGTCCAGAGGCCTTTCTGGGTGGAGTTTGCATGTTCTCTCCGTGCATGCGTGGGTTTTCTTCGGGTACTCCGGTTTCCTCCCACAGACCAAAAACATGCATGTTAGGCTGATTGGTAACTCTAAATTGTCCCTAGGTGTGAGTGAGAGAGTGAATGGTTGTTTGTCTCGTTTGTCTCTATGTGGCCCTGTGATGGACTTGCGACCCGTCCAGGGTGTACCCTGCCCCTTGCACAGTGATTGCTGGACATGGGCACCAGCAACCCCCGTGACCCAAAATGGAATAAGCGGGTAAAGAAAATGGATGGATAGATGGCTTTCATATTGGAGAACAATGAGGACACAGATTTAGTCTGGATTTATAATGACAACTTGGTCATATTGTTTACATGCAAGAGAAAGCTAATATTTTAAAAGTGGTTGCTTTTGATTTTTATCTGTATTTAAATGCCTTCTCAACTAAAAAGCACATTTTGAATAGCAAAAATACACCCTTGAGAGAATGTTACAGTTTCTGAAGATCCCAAGATAGCGGGTATTCTCTTAAATTTAATAAACTAGTAATATTTGAAAGAAGACTGGATTAAAAATAATAATAATTTGATTTAAATAAAAAGTTAGTAAACTGTGTTTATGTAATTGTTTATTTTTTATTTCAGTGAGTCTGATGGAAACCACAGCACTGAGGACGAGGCGAGCGTAATGGACGATGCACCTGACAAACCGGAGGATGCTGCCACCTCCGCAGCGCCCATCATCTCCGTCTCTGCCGTCCCTTGCAGCACAGGAGGTCAACTCATCCTGAACGGGTCCAGTAGCTTCCTCACAGCCTCCCAGCCTTTACTCCTCAATGGGAACTCGCTCATCTCCGGTGCAGGTGCAGGCGTAATAATCAATGGTCTGAACTTGGGCGACTGTCGTACAGTCACCCTGAGTCCCGTTGCCACCAACTCTCCTCTTATCCTGAACGGGGCTCAGGTATTAACCAAACCTGGGGTAAGTGGGCAGCTGCCGCAGCAGCAAACAGCTGGAGCTGAACAGGAAGTCTCAGTTGTGGCGGGCAAAGTTCTGAGCACCAACAACATGCCAGTCCCTCAAACTATCATTTCTCCACCTCTGCAAGTCAAACCAGAAAACCACAATGAAATGGATTTCATTATTGTTCCTAAATCAGAGGGCAGCAGCGAAGCAGTACCGCCGTCATCTTCATCTTTATCCTCCTCACCAACTCTGTCCTCTCCGACCAGTCTTACATCCATAGTTTTGGCACAAACCCCCCAGCACCAAGCGTTCATAACCCCCCCAGCTTCCTTGTCATCTGCAGGCAAGGTTTTTTCTACTTCTGCAGTGACATTGTCTGGTCAACACACCAGTTGCGTGGTCAGCGTCACCTCTGGTTGCCAGTTAAACTCCCCCAGCTCTGTGATTTCCTGCAGTGGCTCCGCCCCTCAGGCCATCTCTTTGCCTCAGGTTGTGCCTTCCATTCAGGGTGCACCAGTATCCCATCTGGTCCAGCAACCTTCAGGAGCCCAAGTGTCTCAGTGCCCTCAGCTGGTCCCGGTATCTCCCCTCCCCTCACTGGCTCCTCATTTCCAACCCGCCCAGACTCTGAACACTAGCAACGGACCGCCACAACCTCAGCTAGGTGCCTCTACAAGCTCATGTCAAGGTGCCACCACTATTGTTTCTATCTCACAGCTCACCAGTAACAGCCTCAATCAGCAGATGATGCACCAGCTGGGAGAGCAAACCTCGAGTCCCCCGCCGAGCAAAATCCAGGCTGTTTCTGTATCTTCTGCAACACAGGTGGTGCCAGCCCCTCAGGCCAAAGGCAACATGGCAGCACACCCGCTCTCACTGCCTCAACTGGTCCCAGTTTCCTCCAACCAAACCCCTTCCAACATCTCTTTCCCACAAGTGGTCCCCGCTAGCTCGTCTCTCTCCATCCCCGCCGCCGGGATGCCCTTACAGATCCTGACTTCAGCTCCAGCTGCAGGAGGGGTTGCGCCAAGCCCACTCAGAATAAACCAGCTGAGGCCCATTCAGAGTGTGGGCACCTCAACCAGCATGGCCCCCCCAGTGCAGCTGCTAAACCCAGGAATCATTCAGCTTCCCTCTGCTCCTCCAGGTATACGGATTACGTCACATTTTATTTTTTTCCCTTAAAATAATAATAATTAAATGTATTTTAGTACAAAGCAAGAAGATGAGCCTTTGAGGTGAACCTGAGCTGAAACTTTTAACATGAGTACACAGAGTGGTTACTTTTACACTGAAACTAAATATTCAGTGTGGATTATTCTGGTCTGTTTTTACAATATGCATTTTTAGATTTATTATTTAAAAAATAGTATTCTTTAAACAAAAGCATATTACCAGCCGCCGTGCACGACATTTTAAACAAAGGTCTTGTGTCTGTTAGCCATCACAGTAGGTTTTGCTACGACCACACCTTATTTTAGCTCAATATCTGGAAAACTCACTAACTTATAGTCATCTGTGTTTCCTAAGTTCAACTAGGGAATCTGTGTTTTTGGTGATAATGTAGTGTTAAAGTTAAAAGGAGCACAAGGCTTTGCTAAAAGTAGCTAAAGGCTTGTTAACAGCTAAAGGTAGCACAAGACAAAATGAACGAGTATGCCAAAGTAAGTTTCAAAGATTTGTTTTCAAAGGTGTTGGAGAGATCTCAGTGCACGTCTGTGGGAGAATTTGTATTTCAAATAAAGATAAATATTTTATAAAGTCTTAAAAGTTACAAAAACTAAACGTTGTAGTCAGAATATCCTGAAAGAGCTGAACATTTTGACATGTGACTAGGTAAAATGTTAAAACAGGTGCGGTTAAAAGAATAAAGAGAAACAGGATCAGTGGTTCTTAAACTGGGGGTCCATGACCCAGTGCTTGAGGGTCCCCCCCCCCCCCCCCAAATATTATTATTTTACAAGCACATAGATGTTTAACAACTTGTTAAAATACACCAAAATGCAGGAAGTCACATATACTTTATTCAAAATTTTCTGGGGGAAGACCCCCCAGACTCCCCTCCCCCAACAGCCCACCCACTATTTGCATTCTGGCATGGATCGGTTTACAAATTAAGCCCTGCTACTTGGTATGACTACTGTTGTGATTCTGTTGTTTTATTTTGTTAAGTGTGTCTTGAATGAAAAATACTCCCATGTTTAAAAACAGAAAAATTGTATTAACACTAATAAAGAACAGGTCTTAAGTATTTATGTTACACAAATATTTCCATTGCATTAAAGAGACAAATGGAAGAAAATTATTTAATGAACATGAGGGTTATGAGGCAAGAACCACTGCTGTAGAGCATTCACACTATTAGCTGCGGCAGCCAATTTAAAATGTATTTGTCCATGTATATCTACATTGTTAGTTTTATTTAAATCCATCCACTGGTTTATGGGATATTTTGCTAACGGGCAAACAAACTTAGACCAACATGAACATTTGTACAGTTGCTCGCCTTTTATCACAACCAGTGATATTAAAACTCAGGAAAGGTGGAAATCCAGTCATAAAGAGAACATAGGGATGGGCAATATATCAATATTTTAAAAATATTGATATATTAATTTTGGTCCATATCGCCCAGCCCTAAGAGAACATTTACAAATGCTTGAAAATCATAACAAAAAAAATTACCATTTCTGCCAAAACTGGATAGTTGGTTGAATGTTTCAGCTTTAGAACAAGGTTCTAAACGTTTGTTGCTTCTAACATGTAAAGAACATTTGGAACATAATGAAAGTTGTCTTGATTGCTGTCTTTTTTACGTTTTAGGTAACCTCGTTCTCAGTGGAAGCCCCTACCTGAGTGTCCAGCAAGGCAAGCTGATTCTCACCATCCCAGCAGGCATTCAGCTCACCAGTTTGCCCCTGAAACCAGTCCTAGATGCTCCGCCCATCCCTGCAAGTGGAGTGACTTCAGTTCTCAACCCCTCCACGCCTCTGGTGTCCTCCCAGCTTCCAACCACCACTTCCAGCAGCCTGACGTCTCCTCTGAATTTCATCAACTCATCTCTGTATTGTGCTCCGGAGTCCGCGATCGCCGGCAGCCACGCTCCTGCCGTCTCTCACTCTTTCGATCAGTCGGTCATCTCCACAACTCCGAGCGCACTCACTCCAGAGAGCATGCTCGCGCTCAGTCCTGTCTACAGCGGCGTGGGACCAAACATCCAGCTGTCCCAACCGGCGTGGAGCCCCGTGCCCCTCTCGACGTCCACAAGTCTAACTCTGTTTGACGTCCGAGGGAAGGGGGAGCTGCACGTAGATCCTGCTCTGTTAGCCCTGCCAGGGGGGGAGTCCCTCCTCCTGGGAAGCCCCTCTCCGAGCCAGGACGAGGAGGCGAGCTCACCTCTGGGAAACCCAGAGGAGATGGACGCAGACCCTAAGATCCTCACTCAGCTCCAGTCTGTCCCTGTGGATGATGATCTGGGCCTTTAGTGCGTTAAAGCCTGGTGAACGTAAAGCTACAAAATAGCAAATACCCGTTTATTTCAATGACTTGACTGATTTTATTTCACATTATAGAACCTTTAATATCTTTTTATACATGTCTAAGATGGTTCGAAGTGGCACTTTTGAGAAATATCCTGCGCAGTTTTCGAGGTGAAATTATTCCTCTGGGTTTTTTAAGGGAGAATTCAGCATCTTGACATTTTTATGTAAACTTTCACACGCCCCGTTGACCTGGATTCATCTGATTTTGGCTCATCTTTGAAACTGTAAAGATCGTGGGAGTCTGGAGTTTTTTTGCTGGCAGAAGTGGATTCACCACAAAAAGGACAATCCAGCAAAACGGTACCAGTCTGAAACCAGTTCACTGCCAACCTTTTTAGATCTTCTGGACTTTGCTCCTCTATTTTTTACAATCAGAATGTGCTTCTCTTTCAACACTCCAGAAACATTTTTAGAACGACAACTACAGTAAAATTACTGAAGCCTGGTGTGAAACGTGCAGATTTACTGCATTTAATAGTACGTTCTTGATGACTATCCTGCAGTTTTTAAACAAACATGCCTCTTTACATTAGTGGAAAAAAAACCATAAAGGATATAAAAGGGTAATTGAGAGTTTCATCTCTATGCAATGCATGTTCCAGTGGTGGCGTCAAAGAGCTGAGACTCTTGGGAGATGAAGCGTTGGCAGTGCAGTACACTAAAACCTTTACTATGATTTAACTTCAATATCAAATGCAGCCAAAATCTCAGTATATTAATACTGATAAGTGCCTTATTTGTAAAGGATATTGTAATTGCTTTAGCGAAAACCAAATTCCTAAACACTTGTTTTTTTCAATTGATCAGTGAAACACATCGTGATCATTTTGATTGCGTAATCATTGTTTGAGCTCGTCTTTCTGTATATTTTGCACATTTCATTCAATATGTTTACGTAGCGTTGCCGTGTTCATATGACAGCGAGCGGGCTCATATGGTCCAAAGCTCCACGTTTTTCCATTTATTTCAGGATTTAAATGCTAACGAATGAGTTTCCAGCTGTCATAACACAGGTAGCATTTAGTTTTTTGGCCATTTGTGGTACACGAATATACACTTCAGTGTTGCATCGAGTTACAATAATGGCCTTTTTTTTTTCGTAGTATGTTTTGTACCTTTGATCTATTTAAAGCATGTACCAATCAGTTTAGTTTTTAAGTAAAAAAAAAAAAACACTTGTGAAAAACGCACATATAGGAATTTACATCAATTTTTACAGAGGTCACTATGTGGTGCAACTTATTTCATTGATTTTGAGGTCATTTATGCTTATTTTAAAAATAAACTGTGCTCCTTTTGTCTTGTCTCGGTTAAAAAGTTCAAACTTTTCATATTTTGTACCAAAGATTGCTAACAGTAAAGCTTGTGAAGGCTTTTATTTGTACCCTGACATTTATTGGTAGCATGCCATTTTTGTTTTTATTGTCCTGTTCGTCACATATGACTCCAAATGCACCAAAGATATCGTATGATTTTTATTATTGTTTTGAAAAGGGATCGTTTGTGTCTGCCATTAAAGGTTCTTGTTTTTGTACCCAAATGCATTCTATTTTTTATATTCCACAATATTGTAATAAACTACATTTACAAAAAAGCCTGTGTGTTTTCCTTCAGCAGCTGTGTTTTAGAGACGGTCATTGTTTATCAGGACATTTTGCCTCTAATTTGACAACAAAATTTTATTCAAATGCATTATTCTCTCCCGGCAATGCAACGTTCAGGCGTTTCTTCTGGTTTGTACAGTAGCAAAGCTCCCAAATATGCATGAAGGTGCGCCGGCATGTGTTTGTACAAGAAGTGGGGGATATCTGGAGTGTTTTTGTAACCCTGATGGGCTCAGGTTACCTGTGGCAGGGTTTGATGATGAGTAATGCACACATGCAGGTTCACTTCGTTTTTGTTCATCCAGAAGCTCCAGCTCTCCGATGAACAAAGTCAAAGGAAGTTAATTCATCTGTGGACCTCCCTTCTTCTCCCACAGAGATGATCTTCACAGCAGAACAGGTCATGTGTGTGTGTGAGGTCCTCCTGCAAGGTGGTTACATGGATCGGCTCTCCAGCTTCCTCTCCACTCTTCCTCCCTCTTCTTCGTGCCTGGGGGAACTAGAGAGCGTGTTAAAGGCCAAAGCTGCTGTGGCCTTTCACCAGGGGCGCTTCTCGGACCTCTACGCCTTGCTGGAGGGCTTCCCCTTCTCCCCACGCAGCCACTCGTTCCTGCAGCAACTCTGGCTGAGAGCCCACTACGCTGAGGCAGAGAAGCAGAGGGGTCGGCCCCTGGGAGCTGTGGGGAAGTACCGAGTCAGGAGGAAGTTTCCTCTACCGCACACCATCTGGGATGGAGAAGAGACCAGTTACTGCTTTAAGGTAGAAACTCATCAACTGCCATCTAGCTTGAGGACTCATTGAAATAATGTCCAACCCTCCTGTTTTGTTTTCCTGCATCAACACACCTGAGTCAACAGATGAATTACTTCTATAATGTCTGCAGAAGCCTGTTAATCAGTTGATTCAAATCAGGTGTGCTGGAAGAGAAAAACATCTAAAACATGAAGGACAGTGACTCTCGAGGACTGGACATCTTTATCCGACATCTATGAAGCTTCAGGTTTTACACAGAAACATGTCCACAGTTGTTCCGTTATTTCTAGATGCAGTTTTATTTCCCAGACTGGTGAACCTCTGCCCATTCAATTGATTTTTATATGGTTTTATTGGTTTTGTCTGGAAACATTTTAGTTGTGTTGCTGCCATCAAATTCAAAATTATTTAATTTTTTCCCCATTTGGATTGATGCAATTTATTAAACATTTAATATGTTTACTATGTTCCATTGTGAATTAAAAAGGAGTTTGTGAGATGTGTAAATCAATGCATTCTGTTTACATTTTATACAACATCCCAACCTTGGTTATATATGGTTTTATTTGTGAGTACTTTTACTGCAAAATTACCAAGTAATAATACTTGCAGAAATGTTGCATAACTTGTTTCTGAAAAAGGAAAACTAAAAAGGACTGGACATGAATATTCAGGTAATAGGACACTGATCCTTTATGTTGCCTTCAAAGACCTTTCTTTTTCATGCACACACAATAATTCTGCGTTCACACACCAAGAGTTTTGAGAAAACTCTTTTTCTTTCTTACAATCACGTGTTGTCACTTATTTTAAAGTTGTTCCAACTCTTTGAACAGGAAAAGTCTCGGGGTATACTAAGGGAGTGGTACCACTGTAAGCCGTATCCGTCTACCCGGGAGAAGAGGGAGCTCGCAGTGGCCACCGGCCTCACGTCCACCCAAGTTAGCAACTGGTTCAAGAACCGGCGACAGAGAGACCGAGCTGCAGACGTTAACAGGTTGTTGGCCTTCAAACTCAAGCTTCTCAATAATTTAATGCCATTATTTTGTGTTAAATTAAAAAACAGCTAGTTTTTCTTTTTTTACACTGCTCTTTAAGTACAAGTGAAAAACAATTTGAAAATGTGGAAGGATACAAAGTGATTATACGAACCGTTAGTATAAAACTTAAACGTGCTTTAACTTGTGTTCAGCGGCGCCTCGAGATGAGGGGTGGCCATCGAACCCCACCCCCAGCTCCTCCTCAGTGGCGCCCCTGCATATTTTTTGACAAATAATTTGACATGCCATAATAAATTTAGCATAAAATAAATAAATAAATGTTACAGTGGAAACTAGCTGAGCTAGGCCAGATAAAAACATTAAATCTTTTGGGCTAGTACTTTATTTTTTTTTCTATCTACAACCTGAACACCAATGGTTTTAATTTGTGCAAACCATTTCACTTTATAAAAATCTTGATATTCTTCTATTATTCTCCATTTTCCCAAGTATTGTGATAATACTTACAAAACTAAATTACTTTACAGTACATATCCTCCACACATTGTATTTGATGTAACAGCACTCTCTTGTGGTTGAAGTGAATCTAAAGACTTTTCTCCCTTCAGTTTCCAAACATCTGTGAGTGGAGGACCTTCAGACGTCTACCTCTCTGACAACGAACGCTCTCCTCCTGGCGGCTCACATTACCACCACCACCACCACCACCGGACACCTCCACCCCTCTGCCATCCACCTCTTCCTCTACATCAAACGAGCGGAGAACGTTAAGAAGTTTTCTCTTTATTGACACCCAAAGCAGGACAAACATAAAAAAACAGTCAAACATATCACCAGATTAAATTATGAAGCCTCACAGATGACAATGACAGACTAAACATTGTGTAAAAGCTTTTTAAACACGACGATGTACCTTGCAATGGCTCACTTTAAGAAGATAAAGTGCATCTTCAACATGTTAACAGGGTAAATCATTAAGGCTACCGAGGTTTCCCCACTACTGAACCAAAAAAGAAACTTAAAATTGATTCACATTTCCAGGAGCTTCTGAGGATGTTGACACAACGCCAGATTCATTCTTCCCTCCAAACTGAGGACATCCCTATCCTTAGTGTCCGCTTTGTCCCGTTTAGTTTGTCTCACCAGAGACTCTCATGATCTGGGCTCTCCACCTCAGCCATTTAATAGTTTCTGTTCATAAACCCAGGTATTCAGCCAGAAACACAGCCAGGATTTTAGTGAGGTTCTCCACGGTCGGACGGTGCATGTTCTCCTCCGAGTCGTCCAGCGTGTGCCAGAACTGAGGAAAGGGAGTGGCGATGACATGAAGCACAGGGACGCCTAGAGGAAAACGACAGATATGAATGAGATCACAACTTTAATGTACGTCTACTCTCAGCTAAATCCCAGAACGACTCCTGTAGAAGGTTTTTACTTTTCGTTCATGGATAGGTTTCTTTTCCATTAATTTGAACATTTGTGTCGCAAATTAAACTAAAATAAAATTTACTTTAAGAGTGTATTTTGACAATATAAACAAATGTCGATTACAATGCGAGCAAAATGCTCAAAAAGACTCGGAAGACACTAGATTATCAAACTAGTTTACAAACTATTCTTGCTTGAAAAGACAAAAAATAAATAAATAAATAAATATATCACGTAAAACTGTTGAAACCTTATGAAGGCACAGTCGGATGGTCTTTTGTTGAGACTAAAAGGACCAACAGTATCTCATCAAGGATTTAATCCTAATCAGGTTGAGCCTCACTTTGGGTCTGCAGCACTAAAACATCTTTAAATGATATTTTTTTAAAGATTGAAAGCTCATTCCTGGCATATATAACAAACACCTTTTATGCCAGAGTTTTCCATCCATCCATCCATCCATTTTCTTTACCCGCTTATTCCATTTTGGGTCACGGGGGTCGCTGGTGCCCATGTCCAGCAATCACTGTGCGAGGGGCGGGGTACACCCTGGACGGGTCGCAAGTCCATCACAGGGCCACATAGAGACAAACGAGACAAACAACCATTCACTCTCTCACTCACACCTAGGGACAATTTAGAGTTACCAATCAGCCTAACATGCATGTTTTTGGACTGTGGGAGGAAACCAGAGTACCCGGAGAAAACCCACGCATGCACGGAGAGAACATGCAAACTCCACCCAGAAAGGCCCCTGGACCAGGGTTTGAACCAGGGACCTGCTCGCTGAGAGGCAGCAGCTCTACCAGTTGCGCCACCGTGCTGCCCGCCAGAGTTTTCAACTAAAGTCATCTCATGGTGAGAAAAGAAGCATTTGTAACTATTCCGGTCAAACTTTGAAATAAACAAAACATTATGCACAATATTATAATGTTAGTGACTCTCAGCTACTACCACACCAAATTGTAGCTTAATGTCTGTAAATCTGAGTTGTAGCCATCTTTGTGTTTTCTAAAACTAGTTTGCTGTGGAGGCCAGCTTGAACTGACCTGGCTCCAAAAATTAAATCAGTTGTAGACGTACACACACCCACTATTTCCTGGAAGTTTCATTAAAGTCTGTCGAGTGCCTAATGAGATATTTTGCTAACAGACAGACACACGAAAACATAGTCTGCCTTTGCCTTTCAGGGACGGGGCATAATGTGATTCTACCATGTTGTATCACAAAGTGATCTACCATAGTCCCTTGTTACTTTGCGGTTCGACTTTTGCGGACTCGCTCTTTCGTGTTTTTTCAAAGTAAGACAAGAAAAAAAAAGATTGTACATGACACACGACTGCCAACTTTAATATTGCTCACGTGATTGGGACAGTATAGAGATACAGTAAAAAGTTAACAAAAACAAAAAAAAAAACTTCAGACAGGCGCTGCCATTTTTGTAGTTTTCTCTCAATAAGCCTACACCGTTTGTCACTCAAAAGGACTGCATTACCCAGAAGTCAACAGTGCTTCCAGCCGTTGCTTTCTGCTGAAATGGAGGGAAAGTTTTGATCTGATCCGAAAAAGTTCGGTCTTTATTCATAGGGACTTGGGCGCTCAGTGGATGCAGAGAGCCGTACGGAACCGACCGGGAATTGGACCAGAACCGGACTTCCAGCATCATCAGTCAATCTGAGAGCTGCTCGCCAGTCAAGAACGGGTCCAGAATGTAACCCCCGCGATAAATGAGGGACTACTGTATATTATATTATATTATATTAGTACTCAGTAAGAGATATTACTTCTTTTGTTAGGTTGATAAATAAAAACAGTGAAAGGCTAAAAAATAAAAGATACAGCTGTTCTAGCATTAATTAACACATATCCCAGTTAGCCTAGCTGTATGGAAATAATCAGAAAATGGCAGTAATAATTTTATTTTAGGCCATAAAGGATGTTCCAAAGTTTTTTACTAAAAGAGAATATTTTACTGCACTTAATGCTTTTATTACAACTTCCACTTTAAATAAAAATATTTAGCAAGTGATCCTTGCCCCCCCCCCCCCAATCTATAAACTTAAGTTATTTTTCGTCCATTTTTCATCATTTTAAGAGGTTATATTCAATTCTATGTCATTTGTTCATGTTTTCTAAACACAACACAAAAACTAGTTTACATGTTTCTGTCAAATAAAAGGTTTTAAACAAATTTGAGGACTTTTTGTCATCTAGTGTTGTGGAAATGAAGGAGAAGGCTCTGATCACTTCTGTTTAAGCTCACCTTTGTGAAGGAAGGGGATGTGGTCGTCTTGCACAGGTCCGAGGTAAACGTCCTTCCTGAAGTATGTCTGCTCCGACGGGTGGGACGTCAGGAGACCCTGACGGTGGAGCCTCTTCTCTAGAAACGACACGAGGGAAGAGTTTGGGGCTTACGACAGCGTGAAACATTTAAGATAAAGTGACAGACTGTGAATACCTGCAGCGATCAGGCGGTCGAACCATTGTGCCGTGTTATCGAAGTGATTTGCAATCAGCGGATTGGGACCACCGAGCAGGTCCAGCAGCACAAAGAGGTCCTGGAGATCAAATATAAAGTCAAAGAAAGGAAGTAAATAAAGATGCAAGTTTTCTTTTTACAGTAAAAGTCAGGCAGTAACTGGATTTGGGTTTATAATAAATGTACCAATAGTGGCTGGTAGGATGGATTTAAATCTGTGCTACAAATTAAATCAATTTATCCTGTTTGTGAGCATTCAGTTTTAACACTAAGGGGTCGGCTCAAACGTAAGAGGTTTATGTTGTTATAACTATAAAGTTCATAAAAAGATTTTACTACTAATTAATGTTCCAGTTTTATGCATGAAAGTCTTTATTAAATGGTCATATCTGACTCGAGACTAGGCCTGTCACAATAATTTTTGCTGGGCGATTAATCGTCTCAAAAATTATTGCGATAAATGAAAATATTGTTTGAAATTTGACAGTAATTTGACAGTAATTAGTAATTACTGTCAAATTTAAGAAGAAATGTTGGTTAATTTTTGTGTGTAATACCTTTTTTGATCACCGGATGGCAGTATAAGACTGAACCGAAGGATGAATAGTGAGGGAGTGCGCAGCATATCTCTAAGAAAAATGGGCGGGAGGCCCCTTGACATGACACGGGCTGTCTCTCGTTCCTGTTTTTCGGTTCTCAAAAAGGCGGACGCTTGGTGTGGTTTGAGCTCTTTAGCATAGCGTTTGTCACACAAAGCTTTTACTTTTAAAAAAAATAAATAAATCAGTAAACAAGTTCTAAGCTTTTTTTTTGTGGAGAAAAACAACTTTTTAGACAAAGGCACAGGTTTCAACCGTGAATTTTGGAGCTTCGACAAGACAAAGTTTTTTCCCTGAGGTCAGACTGTTAGTTTAGCTCGTAGCTTAGCTGCTCAGTTTAGCTGCTTTTAACGATCCAAAAACACGATTCTGGATCGTTAAAACAGATTTTAAAGAGAAAGGGAGGGGTCGGTGAAGAGCACCAGAGTTGAGCCTTTTGTCATCCAGTGTCTTCAGTAGAAAGAGACACAAAGAAACGATAAAGCCGATAAATGAAAATGACATTGATAATTTTATCATGCAATTCATTGATTTATTGTTTATTGCGACAGGCCTACTCGGGACATGTCTGGTTCTGTGAGTTGTGTTTGTCAGCTGTGCTCTCACCACGGCCTGGAGCAGGGTGATGTGTGAGGAGGCTGCGGGGTGAGGCGTGTTCGCCATGAGCTCAGCCAGGTGACGGGAGCCATACAGCGAGTCTGTGGCGGTCCATTCTTCAAACGACTCCTCGCCGTCAAAAAACACAAGTTGCAGAGTCACCGGGAGTTTCTAAGATGGGAAAAAATAGAACGGTGACTCCAAAAAGCCTCTAACTTCATCATCTGGTTTCACAGTTCGTAAAGACAAACAGCAGCTGAAGTCGGGTTTTTTTTTCCTTCTGCAGTGTTGTCACAGTGCATGTTCCTCTAGTAGATCACAGCCTCTGGAGGGACAGTGTTATATCCAGATGACTGCTGCAGTCAGAACCGGAGCCTGAGTCAGCATTTTCAAACACGCTGCAGCCTCGGAGGCAGAGCGATGAAGGAAACGGGTCAGAAGGAGCTTGTCAGCATCTTCCATCTTTACACCTCTCCAGAGATAAAAACACAGAAAAGCACCACATAAATAGGAACACAGTTTGTCAGTTTCTGCTCCAGTTGCAGCCTTTATCTCAGATTCAGCAGCTTGGGGCAACTCACTGGGGGCAAGCAAACTTCTCCTGATCTAAGTGCAGGATGGTGTTAGGCATCTAGGAGTTCCTATAAAAGTATCTGCTCCTTAATTATCAACTATGCTAATAATTAGCAGCAGGTCAAATACACAGAACCTGCATATGTAATCTGAAAAAACACACAAAAAAGACATATTTATCCGAATAATCAGTTTTTCAATTTCAGCCATGAACAACCGTGAACAAAATTGTATAATTTTGTTTAAATAATTATTTGTCCTTTGTCATGTATGAGGGGCATTACTCTGTAAATCACTGCAAGTCTAACTAGTTGTGTTAGCTCTTTCTATCTTGATTTGATTTGGTTAAACTTGTGGGTCTAGACATACTACACACAGAGCTTAAGGTTTATAGAAAATGAGGTTTTTGGCCATAAATGATCTGTAGCCGATTATAGTTTAATAATTTTTCACCATTCAACAAAAGCTGATGTTCAAGCTCAAATCTGTCAAAGGATCCTCGTGAAATTTAAATTCCATTTTAATTATGATGTGAGCATTAGTCAAGTAATTTCTGTGTGAAAATAAT